GGCATATTCAGCACAACAACAAGATGTAGCACGTTTTAACTGGCAGGTGATAGGCTTGTTCACATATTACCCAGCTAACTGGAGGCGCGCGCACTTAGAAACATGCTAGATTTGAAGCTTTTGTGACTGCAAGGATTCATATTCTTAGGTTTTCTCGGTAAAGTCACGTAGGTAAAAAATTAAAATTAATGAAAGTAAAATTATTTTAATTTTTATTTAATTTTTTTACCTACGTGACTCTACCGAAAAAACCTAAGAATTAGAAACATGCGTTTAGATTGTTTGGCTGCTATACATTTCCACGTGATAAGCCACTTCGTTGAGCTGTCATTTGTGGCCAGTTCGCTTCTAAAAAATAAGCTAACAACTCAGTGGGTCATACCTTGTAAGATAAACATATTTTTTCCATGTGATTTGCTTACGTTTCTTATACTATGCACTCCCATTGCGTTTTTGAAACCGTTTGTTGATGTAACGTTCTGAGCCGCCCCTATGGGACATCTGCGAAAAAGAGCTTCATAGCTCATCGGATTCCTCCTCAAATACAAATAAATATTCTGATCGATTTGGAATTTGGTCTCAAATGATGACTCGGCAGGGGGCAGCGAGCGGCTCGCAATCGCAAGGTTTCCAGTTCAAATCCTGCTTGGGCATTGACTCAGCCCATCATTCCTCTGGAGTTGCTAAAATAAGTACCACTTTTGAAGGGAAGTTGTTCCCGTGGACAGACTTGCCCCTGCCACATTACAATGGAATTCCCACCGCCCGGCTCAGCGCTGCAGACAAGAAATAGACGAACGCTGCGTCAATGCTTATTTGAAGCAGGAAATCACTGGGGCTTGACTTTGAACGAGATGAAAGTCAACGTGACATTAGCCTGCATTAAACGCGCAGCCTGCTAAGAGCTAGGGCACTTTGATATTTTACCCCTCTCTGAGAGAGCAATGCTACCACCCTACCAATGTGGCTTGCGCCCCCCCTTATAATCGATGTTTATGCTTTCAGATATAGGAGCCCACTTATTCTTGAGGATTAGCCGTCTAGGCCGAGTTTGGCCAGAGCAGAGATTTTTTCTCCCCATAATGATCTCAAGTGGAATTTTGGCCAGGACATCCAGTATGGACGACATCGTACTCGTTCGACAAATGCAGCACTGCAGCATACCCAGTATCCGCAGAGTCGACAGTTTTGGTTCAATAATAAATAAAATACATCTCATCTCTCGGGGCTTCATTTTCTCACTCGAAATTTGACGCCAACGTCACGCGCGCGCGCGCCCCACGTGAACTGCCATCGCAGACGTGTGCGTGTCCTTACCCGAAGACACTTTATCTTAAGGATACGGAAGCGATATTCAAGTGCCCTCCTTAAGGACGTCTGGTACAAACCCTAAGCGCTATTCACACGTTTTTGTACACCGCCACCAAAATACACAAGACCTCCCCCTCCCCGTATAGCCTTAACAGACTGTTGGGGCAAGTGCTGTTAGCAAGTAGCACCTATGAAGGCCGGAACAACACACGACAACAGTGGTGTGGACATCACCATGCCCGGCCACCTTTGTTTCCCCCAGTGGCGTTGCTTGCACATCGCACCAGGTACTCATTTGAGGCTGAGCTGACCTAGGAGAGCTCCGGGACCGGTTCAGATATTCGTCACGGATGTTGGCCATAAGCGGGAATTGAACTGGGGTGGCGGGGCTTGCAGTACTGCGCGCTAAACGCTACACTACCGCTCCCCGCATCATCATCACCATCACTCCCACCACCACCATGTACACTGTTTCAGCTCGCGGTCACCACCAGTGACGAATATTTCAACCGGTCCTGGCCCTCCCCTAGGTCGACTCAGCCTCAAATGAGTACCTGGTGCGGTGTGTAAACATCGCCACGAGAGAGAAAAAGGCGGCCGGGCGTGGTGCTGGCCACTCACCACCTCGTGTTCCGTGTCGGCCTTCACAGGTGCTGCTCGCCAACAGCACTTGCCTCAGCAGTCTGTCAAAGGCTACCCGGGGGAACTTTGTCTCTTATTTATATGTAAGCGTTCCAGTGACCTCTGTGGCCAACGCGGGTGCGATTGCATCATCACGATTAATTCAATCGCTCGGTGGGGGGAGCGGTGAATTGTTTCAATCGTGTGATGTAAACAATATGACTTCACGCCTCTAGCAAACCTTTCGAATCTAGTCAAGGACACGCGTGGTTTGTTTTACAGCGGTTCTCAAAAGTGTGTTCGTATCAATGTCAAATTATAGATCATTAACCCTTTCGCGTTCCGATGACGTACACGTACGTCATAATAAAACAACTTGACGTCTTCCGACCTGAAGATGCACTGAGGCGCCCACAAGGCCACGTGGGAGGTCGTGTGGTGCCACAGTTTTGGCGCCAGCCATCGTAGCGTGCGGTGGTTGTGTCGCTACGGTTCTCAGCGGTGAGTAACAATGTCCCTAAAAACAACAGCGCTACTACGCCTCTCTAAATAAAATCAACGCTGAACCGCTCGCACGTCCCGAGGTTCACCCACCCTGCAACTTGCAGACGTCTCAGAACGGGAAAGGGGTAATCACGTCATTTTTAACTGCCCTCCAAGGCAATTTAATCACTTCGGTGACGACCGTTGTTAAGAGATCGACCCCCTGCCACAAGAACGTAGAATTTCCACCACAAGCTCAAGAATGCCGGTGGGAGACGTGCGCCGTCGAACAACTCTTGACGTACGCATGTTGCTGAACTTCTTTCGCACCGTACGTAGCCACGCGTGGTTAATCAACGTGCGGCTGGTCATGAAACAGTTCCTAATTGGCGTCGCCTGCGGCGAACGCACTCATCTCTGACGCGAGGCAATTTGTCACCAACACTGGCACACGTGGTGCTACCGCAGCCAAACGAAAACACAGCACTTGACCGACCCACTTCAAGACAATGTGCAGCGGCCTCGTTAGGATGATTATGTCTTGGGGTACAGTTGTGTATAATCGAGGGGGGGGGGGGTAAGTTGGCTATATTTAGTCTCGTCTCAGCCATTACTCCACCCACCTCCATTCTTACCGGTGAATGCGCCGTGATTGCTCGTTCAGAGGCTCTTGCTAAATTGCAATTGCGATGGCGAAAAAAACTCAACTCGTGGTGGAAAAGATTACAGGTCGGACAACACGCTGTCGGCGCTTTGCACGTGACCATTGGAGAAGCGGCATGAACAACGGACACATTTAGTTCGGGAATAAGAGAGTGAATGAGAGAGAGAGTGAGCGAGAGAGTGAGCGAGAGAGTGAGCGAGAGGTGGGGGTTTACATAAAGCAAAGTTATTATTTATAAAAAATAAAATTACGAAATGATGAACGAAGCAAAGTGCCGACTACACCGAGCATCTTCTTATTTCCACTGATCGTAAAAAAAAGAGAGTGAATGGCACTAGACTTGTCTAGCAAGATAAAACTGTTGAACTATTTTTTATTTTGCCAGGAGAGGCCCACTGAGCTATGAAGCTCCTTTTCAGAAGTGAACTGGCTATCACAAATGATACCTCAACGAAGTGGGCTTATCATCAAGTGGCAATACATAGAAGCCAAACACTCGAAAGGTATGTTGTTGATTCTAAATGTGGAGGGAAAAACTGGAGGACCCGTCGAAAAATCCACGCGACCACGGAGGGAGTGAGAGACACGCAGAAACTCCCAAATGTACAGCAGGCATCAGGGTCGAGATCTAACCCACGACCTCCTGTATACCAGGCGAGGTAGTTAACATCTCCAAGCCACCGTGATGATGATGAGAGACACACAAACTCCAAATATACAGCAGCAGCAGGCGTCAGCGTCGGGATCGAACCCATGACCTCCTGTATACCAGGCGAGGTAGTTAACATCTCCTAGCCACCGTGATGATGATGATGAGGGAGAGACACGCAAACTCCAAATATACAGCAGCAGGCCTCAGAGTTGGGATCGAACCCACGACCTCCTGTATACCAGGCGAGGTAGTTAACATCATCTAGCCACCGTGACGATGATGATGATGAGAGAGACACGCAAACTCCAAATATACAGCAGCAGGCCTCAGAGTTGGGATCGAACCCACGACCTCCTGTATACCAGGCGAGGTAGTTAACATCTCCAAGCCACCATGGGTCGCTCCACATCAGAAATTCAGATGGTGGGGACTTCTTCTTCACACATTCCCAGCATGGGCAATTGTGCTTCTCCCCCCCTTGCCTGAATCAAATAAACCCTCAATTAAATGAACCCCTTCCAAAGCAGCCGGCTCGCGCTGTGTGGTTAGAGCAGAGAGTAGACAACCACGATAAGAAGAGCCACTTTTTTCGTATTCGGTAAAAAAAACCTTAACATTTCAAAAGCTGCAATGCAACGTGAATACCAAATGGTGGTCCTCAATAAATAAATTTCACGAAGCGCTCCTTAAAAGAGCCACCGCACGCGGCCCCGTGGCCCGCAGGTTGCCGACCTCTGGGTTAGAGCAACCGCCCTCGCCATCGCAAGGTCACAAAGTTCACGTCCCCCCGGGCGGATATCAGCTCAGCCCGTCGTCCCATCAAAAGTGGGTCAAATAAGTAATGAATGCAGGGCTGCACCCTCAGGTCATTCAGACTGGTCACTTTTCAAATGTTACATTCTCAACATGTAATGTAACAAAGATAAAGATCCCCCATATAGCCTTAACAGACTGTAGGGGCAAGTGCTGTTAGCGAGCACCTATGAAGGCCGCAACGGTACACGAGGGGTGGGTGGCCAGCACCACGCCCGACCGCCTTTGTCTCCCCAGTGGCAATGTTTACACACAGCACCAGGTACTCATTTGAGGCTGAGTCGACCTAGGGGAGGCCCGGGACCGGTTCAGATAATCGTCACTGGTGTTGGCCGTGAGCGGGAATCTAACCCGTGTCGCCGGGTTCATAGCGCAGCGCGCTATCCCCTACACTAATGTAACACACACACACACCCCTTTCTGATTTGAAACAAAGAATGAATGGGTGGATAGTACCTTTCTTGGCTGAACTCTGTCTTGGTAGTCGTATTGAAAGATGCCTTTCCAGCTCAGACCAAGCCACCATGGGATTCCCTGCTTGTCCTACACAGCAGATTCATGCACAAAGATAAATACAAAGATCGCCCCGTATAGCTTTAAACGACTATTGGGGCAAGTGCTGTTAGCGAGCACCTATTAAAGCCAGCACGTTAGACAAGGTGCATGGGTGGCCAACACCACACCCATTGTCTCCCCAGTGGTAATGTTTACACACCACACCAGGTAAGGCCCACCAAACTATATCGCTCTTCTTCAGAAGCGACCTGGCCACAAATGGTAGCTTAACGTGGACATTTATAGCATCCAAATACTCTAAACGTGTGATGTCGATTTCAAATTTGGAGGGAAAAACCAGAGGACCCGGAGAAAAATCCATGCGACCAATGGGAGAGACATGCAAACTTCGAATATACAGGTGTCAGGTTCGGGATTGAAACCACGACCTTCTGCATACCAGGCGAGGGAGATAATATTTCGCCACTGCGGATGTGTGCCGATGAGATTAAACACATGACATTTTAACGACTGAAATAACAAAGTGACTCACTTTTACATTGTAGTAGTGAATTCCGTAGGTTGGAAGAGCTTCGATAATGCTCATATAACTGCAGCCAACACATACAAATCAGAGAATATCATTAGCAAAGATTAAAAAAAAATCTTCCATTTTTTGTTTAAGTATAACATGCTGTGCTTGCAAGATCTGAAATTACAGCCGGACAGACAAAGACACGGACAAAGATCCCCCGTGTAGCCTTAACAGACTGTTGGGGCAAGTGCTGTGAGCAAAGTACCTCACGAACAGCCCTACACACACACGCGCACGCACGCGCACGGCAGTAGAGACAATGCGGCACAACGGGCCATTCCAATCTGTTGACAGGCTGGTGTTGCGCGAGGTTGTCCAAGAAACACTGGGCACGTTTGGCACATTCCGTTCGGCTCGCTCGATGGGGGTTTGTTTCGCGCGCACGGTCTCCAACAGGGACCGCAGGAGGACCGGGCGGCCACTCTGCTGATCGCCACCATCACCGGTGGTGGCGGAGGCGGCGCTCCCCACATTCACTCATCGCGCACGGTCTCGGCGAAGAATCGTTGTGCCAAACGCGTGAACTCTTGCGAATAGCGTTCGCATCGGCCCGCTCTTTGCTGCCATGCACTGGCGTGTCTCCAGTGAATTGTTCGATCCACGAATCACGAGGGGGGGGGGGGGGGGTGCGACCACGGGTACGCGGCGCTCTTCCTTCGAGAGTCACGGTCCACTCCGAACGTCGACCACCAAACAAAGTGCGAAATTTTGCTGCAGGAGTTTGCGCATCGAGACAGGGCGCCGTGAATCATAAAGTGACACCAGAGCCATCTACCCCTCGAACTAAGCTCTCGACTGCGAGGAGACCGGTCGCAGATGCAACGGTGACATTTATGACGAAGTCGAACCAGCGGAAGCCCAAGAAGGCATCGCATGTGCAAGGACTGGCAGCTGGTCCAAATCAGTTTGAAGCAAGGCTGTAGCCATGGAGTCAACATTGGGGGGGACCAAATCTTCTAGGGTGTCTGGGAGTCCCAACCCAGAAAAATATCTACATTTTAAAACTAATTCCCTGCCTAAAATATTTAAAAATTCACTAACACATGGGATGGACTTTTAATATATTTTTTACAATAATGTCTAATAGTGTATTGTATTACATTGCTCTGTTTTTACTTTTTTACCTTTTCTTGTTTCATTGTATGTAATGGCAGAGATTAGGGATTAATAAAATAATAACCATAACCACAATCATATCAACATAAATCTATGCATTGACTTATATGAAGACGAGTCCAAATATTGTGGCCAAGGTTTAGCAAATTTTTTATTTTATTTACATAGCATTGCAATTTTTTTTAATAGCAATATATTGGGGGGGACATTTTTTGCATATTTGAATATTGGGGGAGATGCCCCCCCCCCCCCAATATATATTATAATTACGGCCTTGGTTTAACGATACCGCTCCTGATGTTATCTTCCTTGCCTGGTATACAGGAGGTCGGGGGTTCGATCCCCACCCTGACGCCTGTATATTTGGAGTTTGCATGTTCTACCCGTGGTTGCGTGGATTTTTTCTCGGGGTCCTCCAGTTTTTCACGGCTGGCTTTGATCGGGAGCGGTATCAATAGATGGGACTCACTGCTCGCTTTGATCGGGAGCAGTATCGATAGCTAGAACTGCAGCAAATTTCTTTGGCATCAGAATCTTCATTTCAGAATCAAAATCTGTATTCACACTGGAGGAATCTGATGAGCAAAAAGCTCTTCTTCACGGATGTCCAGCAGACACGTATTACCAAAGCAAGCATGCGAAAACGTGTTTCAATGTGAATTTCAATGTGATTTTCAGTGTGAGTTTCAATGTGAATTTAAATGTGTTTTAATGTGAATTTCAGTGTGAGTTTCAATGTGAATTTACATGAGTTTCAATGTGAATTAAAATGTGTTTCGATGTGAATTTCAACGTGAATTTCAGTGTGAATTTCAATGTGAATTTTAATGTGTTTCAATGTGAATTTCAATGTGATTTTCAGTGTGAGTTTCAATGTGAATTTACATGAGTTTCAATGTGAATTTTAATGTGTTTCAATGTGAATTTCAATGTGATTTTCAGTGTGAGTTTCAATGTGAATTTACATGAGTTTCAATGTGAATTTCAGTGTGAGTTTCAATGTGAATTTCAATGTGTTTCAACGTGAATTTCAATGTGAATTTCAATGTGTTTCAACGTGAATTTCAATGTGAATTTAAATGTGTTTCAACGTGAATTTCAATGTGAATTTCAGTGTGAGTTTCAATGTGAATTTAAATGTTTCAGTGTGAATTTCAGTGTGAGCTTCAATGTGAATTTCAATGTGAATTTCAGTGTGAATTTCAGTGTGAATTTCAGTGTAAATTTCAATGTGAATTTCAGTGTGAGTTTCAATGTGAATTTAAATGTGTTTCAATGTGAATTTCCATGTGAATTTCAGTGTGAGTTTCAATGTGAATTTAAATGTTTCAGTGTGAATTTCAGTGTGAGCTTCAATGTGAATTTCAATGTGAATTTCAGTGTGAATTCAGTGTGAATTTCAATGTGAATTTCAGTGTGAATTTCAGTGTGAATTTCAATGTGAATTTCAGTGTGAGTTTCAATGTGAATTTAAATGTGTTTCAATGTGAATTTCAATGTGAATTTCAGTGTGAGTTTCAATGTGAATTTAAATGTTCCAGTGTGAATTTCAGTGTGAGCTTCAATGTGAATTTCAATGTGAATTTCAGTGTGAATTTCAGTGTGAATTTCAATGTGAATTTCAGTGTGAATTTCAGTGTGAATTTCAATGTGAATTTCAGTGTGAGTTTCAATGTGAATTTAAAGGAGTTTCAATGTGAATTTCGCAAGCTGCGAAGACTGTACGGCCGCCGAAAGCGTGCTCGCTTGCGCCAATTCATTTTCATCAGCCCCCCCAAAATGGATGGCGAATGACTTTTTGCGCCTTTGCAGAAGAAGTCTTTGAGCCGCGCTCTGCACTGCTCTGTGTAATCTGGCCCGCAAGCAATAAACCTCAGTGACCTTTTGTCTCAGATTGTCATCATCATGTCCCCTTCGTGATGAGGTCATCAATGTTACTCCCCTAATTAGATTTTCTGTTCTTTATCTAATTCTTTTCCTCCTTAATTGGCATCCTGTGTATTTTTAGTTTTTGAAGTTATTTACATTGACAAAACCTCGTGGAAATAATCCTGGCATACTAACTTTATGCGCGAAGAATTTCGATTACCTGAACAGAGATCATTTTTGAGGAATAGAGCTCGAACATTTAACAGGCCTAACACCCAAAGATGGTCTCTTATGACAAAACAAATAATATTGTTACTTTGGTTCTTTCGGTAAAGTCACGTAGGTAGAAATAAAAAATAAAATAAATGTATGAGTAATGTCTTCTTCTCGTTAAACCGGCCACCACCCGCCATAGGCAAGTCGTAAGGTGTCAATTCGTTGCTAATTCAGCACACCGGTGCGCCAGGGAGTAAACCTACAACATTTGGTCACGCGTTCAACGACACATTTATATTTACGCAATCTAACCCGAAACACCTTTGTTATGGATAATATTGGTAGCGGAAGCCGACGTGTTAAATCAATCTTATACTTGTTTAAATATTCATATACAGGCTGGTCCAGATGTCTTATAACACCCCCCCCCTCAAATTAATATGCACGGGGGGGGGGGGGTAAAAAAATAGGGGTCAATCAATTTAACACGTAGGCTTTTGCGACCAATATTTTCCATAAGAAGTTTTTGGGTTCGATCGCGTAACTATAAATGTTCCGTTAAACCCGCCACCACCCAACGCAAGTGACGACATCACATTTGATCCTCATGGCGGTACCCAGGGGTACCAAATAATACAAAATATCCGAGGAAATAAAATATTTTATTTCTGGGACACTATTATCACTAAGGGGTGTACTTAACTCCGCGACTGGGGTACCAATCAATCCGCAATCAGTGCTACTCCGATGTCGAAACGCCAAACATCAGCATAAAAAAATCCGTTATCGAAAAATTCAACTTTGATTAGTGCATCGTGTACAGCTCGTTGAGGTGAGTCGATTGACTAGATGAGTCGATTGACTAAAAAATTAACCCGTAAAAACAAAGTTTTTCACTATAAATCCTTTAAATGCGTGGCGGCTAGAGTCCTCTCGTCCTCTGGCTTGAGATGGCTGCCACCTATGGGTCAGATGATTGCGTGCCACCATTAAGCAATTGGTAATTAAATGTAATTTATTTTTTCCTAAAAAGTGTAAAATTTTGGAAACAAATTTTCACGAAAATAAATTGTCATGCACAACGAGTCTGTGTAGAAAATGTCAGCTCGATTGGATCACGGGAAGTGGGATAAAAAACGACCGAAAGATTTGCACGGTCGTAAGCAAGCAAGCGAACTTAATATAAAGGATTTAAAAATGACTGCATCATGGACATTGTGCGAGAGCCGGGGTACTATGGTACCCCGGGGTACCGCCATGAGGTTCATTTAACCCTCTTTTTAAGAGCGAAACAGGAGGATTTCTCCACAACTCTGGCTGTCGCCTGATGATGCTCGTTGTAATTACTGGCGAAACGTCGTACTCGTATTGTAAATGTTGTGGGTTTACTCTCCAACACACTGTTGTGCTGTACCGGTAAAGAATTGGCACGTTCTGTTTACGTGACAAACCTTATTCTTGGTTCTTTCGGTAAAGTCACGTAGAAGGGAAATAATAAAATAACAAAAATAAAACATAATACTATTCTCACGACGTTTCAGCCACAACGCAAGCAGCCGTCCTCAGGTTAAAAACGTTGCCAAGCTTAGCAGTGTTCATTAGGACGCTGTCTTTCCGGCAGCTCTGTTCTTCACCTGAGGATGGCTGCTTGCGTTGTGGCCGAAACGTCGTGAGAATTTTATTATGTTTTATTTTTATTATTTCCCTTCTACGTGACTTTACCGAAAGAACCAAGAATATGAATCCCTGCAGTCACGAAAGCTTCAAATCGTGACAAACCTTACTTATTGGCTTTGTCGGGTGGCGGCGGGTTTAAGGACACATTTATGCGACCTAACCCAAAACCTCTATTACAGGGGTCAATCAATTGGATGGTGACAAGACGTCTGGACCACCATGTGCAATTCAAACGCTCTTTGCAGTGGTCAGTAACACAGACAGAATGCTTGAGTGAAGTTTCTTCTATCCCTCGACGCTTGCGACGAGGACCAACAAACACGTCAACGTCGCACGCCCTGCCGCCACTCACAATCTCTAAGATGTGAAACCCTGAGCCAAGTGTCAGGTGCCGGCGGATAAGCCCAACGTTTTTGTGCAGCAGTCTGTGTTTGCTTGCAATACAGAAGGGCAACATCACACACACACACACATGCTCTCGCCGAATGAGTTGGTAAGCCAAACCAGGTGTGGCCGATAACAGCTTAATTTAAGATTCCATGTGCACACACTGCCCTTAATCTGAAGGCAGCCGTGGGCACAAGCACTCGGGAATCATATATCTTCACGTTCCTGGGTTTCCTAGCACAGTGCACGAGCCACTTGCGGTGACTGCAACGAACACTGTCCAGTTCATCCGGTCCTTTCCAGAAAAAAACCGTGGGTTCTTGTTTTGTGCGAGTACATTTTTGCTTCTTCAGAAACGCGGCACTATGCTTATTCTGAAAGTCGACAAGAATGCGGAAATCGTCGCCCTGGAATTAAAAGCAACCCAAATGTTACCTGTTATCGTGGGAATTTCCACGACCCAAAAAAAGCCGCCACCTGAGTGTGCATCACGTGACACCGTGCAAGTGCTTCTGGGTTTACCCCAATCTCGGAGTCACTGCGCATTTGCCGTGTGCAAAAGAGCATTTTGGTCTTTCGCAAAGTGGTTCTGAGTGAGCGATCACAAGGACACAAGAGGAACGTTGAGTATCAACGCACTGATCAAAGAATGCCCTGCGCGCTTCTCTCTGTGGCATTACAATACCAACGTGTGCGACACTAAACAAAACAACACAGCGACATCGCAAGAATCACACCGCATGTTGCACACGTCGCGCGACGAAATGTCTCGGACGTAAACATTTTTGCAGCTTGCGAAGCCACACAAAGCTGACATGTAACTAAAAATAACTAAAATGTAACATGTAAAAAGGAAATCACTTGAGCTATGCACTTTTAAATCTAAATGTAAAACTCATTTCCTTAGAGCAACAGCTTTTTGCGTTTAGTTTGTTGTCCTCCTGCCACACCTCCGATTGTCACGGTTGGCTACGTACGGTGCGAAAGACGTTCAACACACATACAGTACGAAAGTATTCATGCTACAGAAAGACTTTCCCCCTCTCTGAGAATGTGCAGCTTCCACCACTGGATCAGAGTCACCAGCAAAATGTGTGTGGCTTGCCATTGGTTGTGGACACGTTCACTCCATCACCCACCGTTCACTTAATCTCCTGCGAGTGCAATGGCAGCGATAATAATTGCACTCGCAGTGCGCCGTTAAAATCCAATCAAACTGCGGGGAAGGCCAACGGATAAAAAGTCGGTCAGGTTGACGCGCGTAAAACTCACTTGACGATGGCTTGTCCATGGGTGAGGCCCACAAGGCGCTGGTAATTCTCAATCACCCGCTCCTCGCTGGTAGAGACACGAGGGTGGAGGGGAGGTGGGCCATGGAGCACACGCGACGTGTCAGTTCGCCACTGAGGGCAGCTCAAACATCGGTCACGTAGCGCGGCGTGCTAACTGATAAACCACCGCTCCCCATATTAATTCGAACGCAGGCAACGATAGACGCGATCTAACCCAAACACTTTTCATCGCGAAAATGCCCACGCGTTAAACCGGCAGACTCACGCTTCGTGAGCGAGCGCTCCCCGACCGCTCACCAGTAGCAGAGGGAGGGATGCTCCTTCAGAGCCTGCGTTGGAATCGCCGGCAGCTTCTTCAGATCCCTCTGGGCCGCCTCGACGCTGTGGGAAGACGCAGAAGAAAAAGCGAGCTGCAAAAGGAGAGGCGCAGCAGGGGAGTGTGGCCACGCGGTTTCGGGGGGGCGTCAGAGCGTTCGTTGTTGTCGAGCGAGAGGCGGTGGAACCGCAGGTTCGAAATCGAGGCAGCCGCCCCATGGGGGGTGCCGATGTGGCAGAGGTCGCAAACGGGTTTTGATTCCTTACCCATACCCGTACCCGGCCGCACCAGGGTCGCAAACAGGTACCCGTACCCTACCCGGCTACCCGTACCCGGCCGGGTATCGGGTAGGATACGGGTACGGGTACCCGATTGCGACCTCTTGGATGAAGCCATGTTGCAGGCGCGGGTGGGTTGATTCTAGGAACTTGAATTGTGAGAAGAGACAAGACGTTGGGAAATGAGTGACAAACGGTTACTCACCAGTGACTCACGGCCTACCCGTACCCGTATCTGGCCGCACCAGGGTCGCAAACGGGTATCCGTACCCGGCCGGGTAGCCGGGTATCGGGTAGGGTACGGGTATCGGGTACCCGATTGCGACCTCTGCGATGTGGTGAGGTGTTAACTCCCTCGCCCGGTATGCCGGAGGTTCGTGGGTATGATTCCAACAGTAAGCTGGAGTTTCTGTCACCGACTCAGGGCTGTTACTCATACTTGGTGATAACATCCACCAAACGTACTTGAGAACACGTGTGCAGATTTAAAACAATAGCCGATTGAACACACAACAACGTGGATATGGCGGTAGACCGGCGCAGCTATTGACACCAACGTATACACATTTAAGCATACATGACAACCAGCTAGTAAAACCCGACAGGCAAGATGTTTCAACACTTTCATCAATGACACTGTGGCCTTCAAAGGGAAAACAATATATCTAAAAGACGACGTGTCAGGCAATAGCCCTTCGTCATAGAATATTTTTTTTTACAATCGGTGACGTTTCCTATGAAGAAGGGCAATTGCCTGAACCATCGCCTATTATATATTTACTGTTTTACTTTAAGGCCACAGTGCTATTGAACAAATGTGTCGAGGTTTGTGTTTTTTTGCGTTTGTGCACCACTGCCAACTCCTCAGCAATATGACCAAATCATTCGTCTAATAATCATGATCAGTGTGATAATGAGAGCCCCAATTTGTCCCCATGATGGCTGGCCATCGAACCAAGGCGGTCGCTGCATGGCACGCTTCTAAACGCGCTTCTGAGGCCGTCTGGAACGCTCTTCCTTTCGATGTTAGGAAGCCACTGGAGCTATGCACTTTGAAATCATCAAGATTGAAAACTCGTTTTTTCACAACTGCTTTTTGTGTTAAGCTTGTTGTCCTTCCATACACACCTACGATAAGCGCGGTTGGCTACTTACAGTGCGAAAGAAGTTCAACATACATACACGTGTACTAATAATCTCAGCTGGACTTACATGCATTACGCATGCACGCACATTAATAAGAGTATATATGTGTGTGTACACATATATGAATACACGTGCACGGGAAAAATGCTTTGGGTCTTTATTTCGCATCCCCCCTTCCCCAAGGTAAATAAACAGACATATAAGTTTTTATAAACTGAACATACGCCTCCAATGGGAAGTGTGCATCCGTCGTAAGATGGTGCGATGTCAAATATTATTTAAAACTCTACAGGCACTTGGATTGCTTTTGGCAGCCAACTCTTTGAGAAAGCCACGAGGAAAAATCGGTCAGGTTTCAAGATGGGCGCTGGGGATTTAATCACGAGTGTTGAATTATTTACGCCCCCGTTATTAAAATTCAGATTGCGTGACTAAATCCACGTTTTGTTTGTTGGCTACAATTAATTGTACGTAAAATGAAAATGACACAGTAAGTGGTCTTTAATCTTGTGTCTTCACAACAACAAACAAAAAAACACTTTTTCACCGAAATAAAAATTCCCGTACATCTTTTTGCACTCAAGACTTTCTTGAACGACATACGAATGATAATTTTTGGAGGTTTCGATCGTCAACATTAGCTGGGTGGTGAAATTTATTATTTTAATTGACAGGTTTGGTTGCATTAAATAGCAACACGATACCCCCCCCCCCCTTCTTCTACTGGGATATTAGAGCTTCGGAAGACACCAGCGGGTTGCAGAGTTTATTTAAACAGTTTATTGAAACATGACGTTTAAGACAGGTTGTCCTTGCACTGTAATCCGTAATGTGTTTGTGCTGGTGTCAACTCCGTTTCATATCCTCTGTGTTGTGTACCTGAATCGTCTTGTTCAATAAAAGAAAAAAATAACAACACGATACTTGAGTAGCACATTTACTCAACAAAAGAACTCGCCAAACATCACAAGCAGAACGCTCCTGGCCAGAACAATCTTGAGATTCATCGAGGCCAACCCCTGCATGAATGAAGCGGTACGGCTATAACATCACCGTCATATGTCGAAGAAAGTCTATTCGAGTGATCTTACTCCGAACAATACGACGTTTCCAAATCGATTGAGCACAATTGCTTTTCATTTAACTTTCGCTCGTATTCTTCTCGCCCATTGAGAACATATTGAGGGTGCCAAGATGCACAAAAAATTCCCGGGGCAATTTCGCACGGCTGCTCCTTTTTAAATCCTTTATATTAAGTTCGCTTGCTTGCTTGCGTGCTTGCGTGCTTGCTTGCTTGCTTACGACCGTGCAAATCTTTCGGTCGTTTTTTAACCCACTTCCCGTGATCCAATCGAGCTGACATTTTGCACACAGACTCGTTGTGCGAGACAATTAATGTTCGTGAAAAAATGTTCCCAAAATTTTACACTGTTTAGGGAAAACAAATTAAATATTTAATTACCAATTGCTTAATACTGGCAGACAATCATCTGACCCATAGGTGGCAGCCATCTCAAGCCAGAGGACGAGAGGACTCTAGCCGCCACGCATATAAAGGATTTATAGTGAAAAACTTTGTTTTTACGGGTTATACTTATTCCAGCCCCAAGGACGACCTCCCAGCTACTGCAGGAGGAGACATTTTGAACCGCAATACCTCGCCGATCTTCTCAAGAAGCACGAAACATCACGCCAAATACGGTCATCCTCGCAACAGCAGCAGCAGCAACTTTGTCTAGCCGTCAAACAAAGACGGTCACAGCATCGCACGCTTTCGGATGCGCTTCTGCGGCCACCTGGAACGCTCTTCCTTCCGATATTAGGTAGCCACTGATGTCTATAGGACTGCTTTTTGCATTCAGTTTATTGTTCTTCCTCCGCAGCTCCGATTAGCGCGGTTGGCTACTTACGGTGTGAACGAAATTCAACACGCGTACACGCGAATGATACTTGCAGGAGCAGCAGAAGTGATGGGATGAGGCGGCTTTATTTCAAGATTATCCAATCTCAACGGGCAAGAGAGGCTGCGTTCGTCAGGCCTCGCTGATCGCAGCTGATTGTGCCGTTAATCCATCGCTCCTACGGAGATGTACGTTTAAGCCTACATAGCCGTCTTGGTCCTCCACGTGTATTTTGGGGAATCAGTTGGGAGGCTCAAGCCAACCGAACTGAATTCGAAACTCAACTAAACATTTCTTTTTTTTATTTTACTAAGTAAGGCCCACTGAGCGATACAGCTCTTTTTCAGAAGCGACCCTGGCCACAACTGAGAGCTCAACGAAGTGCGATTATCATCGCGTGGACATTTACAGCAGCCCAAATGCTCTAAACGTGTGTTTCTAAATGTGGAGGAAAAAAACAGAGAACCCACAGAAAAATCCACGCGGCCACGGGGAGAACGTGCAAACTCCAAATATACAGCAGCAGCAGGCGCCAGCGTCGGGATCGAGCCCACGACCTCCTGTATACCAGGCGAGGTAGTTAACATCTTCTAGCCACCGTGATGATGATGATGAGGGAGACACGCAAACTCCAAATATACAGCAGCAGCCGTCAGCGTCGGGATAGAGCCCACGACCTCCTGTATACCAGGCGAGATAGTTAAAATCTCCTAGCCACCGTGATGATGATGAGAGACACACAAACTCCAAATATACAGCAGCAGCAGGCGTCAGCGTCGGGATCGAACCCATGACCTCCTGTATACCAGGCGAGGTAGTTAACATCTCCTAGCCACCGTGATGATGATGATGAGGGAGAGACACGCAAACTCCAAATATACAGCAGCAGGCCTCAGAGTTGGGATCGAACCCACGACCTCCTGTATACCAGGCGAGGTAGTTAACATCTTCTAGCCACCGTGATGATGATGATGAGGGAGACACGCAAACTCCAAATATACAGCAGCAGCCGTCAGCGTCGGGATAGAGCCCACGACCTCCTGTATACCAGGCGAAGTAGTTAACATCTCCTAGCCACCGTGATGATGATGATGAGAGAGACACGCAAACTCCAAATATACAGCAACAGGCGTCAGGGTCGGGATAGAGCCCACGACCTCCTGTACACCAGGCGAGGTAGTTAACATCTCCTAGCCACCGTGATGATGATGAGAGACACGCAAACTCCAAATATACAGCAGCAGGCGTCAGCGTCGGGATCGAGCCCACGACCTCCTGTACACTAGGCGAGGGAGTCAACATCTCCTAGCCACCGTGATGATGATGAGAGAGAGACACGCAAACTCCAAATATACAACAGCAGGCGTCAGGGTCGGGATCGAACCCACGACCTCCTGTATACCAGGCGAGGTAGTTAACATCTCCTAGCCACCGTGATGATGATGAGAGACACACAAACTCCTAATATACAGCAGCAGGCGTCAGGGTCGGGCTCGAACCCACGACCTACTGTATACCAGGCGAGGTAGTTAACATCTCCTAGCCACCGGGGCGCCCCCAATTCGCATTGCTAATTATCAACGGAGAACATTCAAGGTGTCGAGAGGAGTGCTTAAATAAGGGGTGGTGGACATGGCCTAGCGGTGACGTCTTTAGACCGATATAATGATGCGGTGTATGCTCTATGTTATTGACAGAATTTGGCTGCTACTTCTTTGAGCTATCATTTGTGGGCAGGTC